GGACGGTACTATCAAGGGTGCCCATTTCGTACAGACACCCGATTACGGTTCGTACCGCCGAGCAGAGCGCGAGAAATCTCGGCTAATTGTCGCGAATTTCAGTCCAAGTTACCGGGTGGGGCGACTTCACCAAAATGAATGTTCCCAAGGGCGATGCCGGCGGAGAGCTTGACCCGCACGGTAACAAATTACTGTGGTTCTTAAAATAGCTCATGGCTCATTTACTCTATGTAGGTCCAGATGGTTTTGGTAATCCACATGGTGGCCTAGTATTCGGTACCAGCTTCGGCAAACTTCAACAATACCACGAGTGGACGGTTAGTATTATACACAGGTCCGCTTTAAGGCATCTCTAACCGTCTAACCCAATAGAACTTTATGTCTTCTACCGAATTTTGCATCCGTGCCTGCAAAGACAGTAAAACTGCACCTAAAATGTGTAATCACGTCTACGACGTCATGGGTTGTGGTTGGAACATGCCCGGAAACTACGATCAAGGAGTATTCGAAAACTGTGTTGGGGACTCGAGTCTACCGATGGGCATATACGGCGCTTCAACGTTTCATCAGGGCGACCCAAGCACACCCGCACCTCATCCAGCCCCGGGGAGCAGCTCGTGCCAGGCGGTAAGCTCAGTTGGTAACGGAGCGCTGCTTTCGACGGCTTCGGCGAGCACGACGTCCGTAGTGACCCTCCCTTCGGGTAGTTCAATGACGTCGATTGCAGCAACCTCCACTGCGACACCTTCAAACTCTGGTGCTGGCCCGCATTTGGGTTCTGGGATGGGTAAATTTGCGATTGGAGCGGGTGTGACTTTGGTGGCAGTTCTCCTTGGTGCATGTGTCGCTCTCTAGATTCAAGGTTTGTGTGACTCTTCGGCCGAGGACTTGTGCGGATATTCAGGCAATCTGTCTTCTTGCTATTGTTTTTTGCTTTTTATGGACATCTTGGGTAGTTGTGGGGGTATATGCGCTCCAAGTCCATTCGCTTATTAGTTTGTATACACGGCTTGTTTGTTGGAATAAATTTCTGTTTCAGTGTGTAGGACGATTATCACCACCAATGCTAGAGCTTTTAATATAGGATTAACGCGGAGAGCCCGGAGCAGGTGCCCCTACGCCTAGTCCGGAGCGTGAGGTCGAACATATTATCAGGTTTCGAACAATCGGTTTCCTTCGCGCTTCCAGGATGTAGGCGCTGTACCGCCAAAGTAGGAGCATATTGACATCCGAGTCGACCCGTCGACACCAACTAAGGGCCACAGACAACACGTGACGGGGCCAAGAGTGGCCTGGAGTGTTCCAGTCGCCGGACAATGGTGCGCCACAGCCCGCGCATGGTCATGCCCATGCAGGGTCCTCGCTGGGCGCGGCAGCTCAAGGTGAACCGTGACTCTGCAACGGATTGATGCTGAATTCAAGTACCAGGGGCTCATAGATCCAGAGTTCAACAGGAGAAGAACTCCCCACGTCGTCAGATAAGCTTCTTATACTTGCTAACAATTTTGTATCTCTCATATTCCCTTGATCGCTAGGCTAGATGCTATGTATTTGTGCCTTTGTTGTAGCCCTTACTCGTAGTTATCGAACGAGTCATTGTATGCGCGACTTTGTTCTGTACTTGTAGAGCTCCAAGTGTTTCAAGCCGAAGTACGACAACTGCATCTCTAACTTGGTAATCGAGCAGATTCTGACCGAACAAGGTCCACAGATACGTAAATTGAAACTACGGCCTTCTGTACGGGGAATCGAACCCCGAGTTTGAGGCGGTTACCCCAGCCCCGAGTTTGAGGTTGCTTGTCCCAGCAACGTTGATAACATCTACTTTGATAGACATGGGCAAGAGCTACATTATCAGTTCAGAATTGTGTCATCAGAATCTGAAAGCAGAGATACCTGGGGGGGGGAGAATGGATAGAGCCAGTTTGGCCCCATGTGAGCTTCTCTGACAAAATTATAATACGTAGTGCGAGGCAATGTTACATATCGGAAAAATTGTGAGCCAAGGCCTTTCTGCCACTGAAAAAATAACGGGATCGGATGCTGGCTTGTCGATGGTGGATTTTGCTATACTTTTAGTTATTTCAAGCTGGGTAGAGCAGATCAGTGGTTATGCATGCATAGGTGCCTTGGACTCATACAATCAAGTTTTTCAGGACGTGAATGTGAGCCAATCAGCAAATGTGAGTCATTACACTACAATACAATCGATTCAAGCCAAGATCGGGCACTAGAGGCTAATAGACTCAGGGTTCAATAGGAGAAGGTCCCGAGTCGAGTCGGGTAAACTGCTTATACCTGCTGACAGTTTGTATCTATCACAACTCCTTCATTTTTTGGTCAATCACTTTGTATATATACTTGATCGATAGCCCTTATAAGTGGCTATCGATCAAGCTAGAACACGCGCAGGTTAGTTTCGAATCCTTGGAGCTACAAGTGCTTACATCCGAGGCATCGTAACTGGATCCCTAACTTAATGAATGAGCATGTTCTAACTTGACATAGCGACATATATAGATCAAAAGATCTCCAATGCGGGGAATCGAACCCCGGGCTTCGGCAGCTGAGAGCTCACGGGTTCAGGGTCCAAAATGAGTATGCAGAGCATCAAATGTCATCCGCGAGTAAGCTTCTTGTCCTATCAGTAATTTGTATCCCTCATAGCTCACTCATTTCTAAACCAATCACCCATTACTTGTACTTATTATATAGCTCCTACTCGTGGCTATTCGTCGAGCTATTATATGCGTGGTTCAGTTCCGTACTCGTGGAGCTATAGGTGATTCAAGCCAAGATATAGTGGCCGCATCCTCTCTATTTAATAATTGAGCAGATTCTAGCTCAAGAAAGCAACAAGAATGTATCAAAAAGGTCTCCGATACGGGGAATCGAACCCCGAGCCGTCGCGGTGATTACGTAATCATTACGTACTCATGAAAGGCGACAATGTTAGCCGTTACACCATATCGGACTGTAAGGAGTCAGTTCCTGTACTTACAGAACTGCTAACAGCCCCTGCAAAGTCAGCTGGCTCTGAAAGCTGTACTTTTGGCTTACTTAGTAAGATTGTGATCACAGGGACTTTATAAGTAGCTGGTGGAACGTAGATTGTAGAGGAACTTAACAGCCCATGAGGAGCGCCGGGCCGTGTCACGTGTTTCCCACAAAATCAGTGTTAGTAGTTTGACGTTCGTGTAGCTGACTTGGCTATGATGAAATAATTGTAATGGGGATACTCAAAGTCGAAAGAACTGAACTTGACTGGTACTCTCACCGCTCCTCCCAGTTTCGGGTGGACCAATTTTACTTTGTCATTTCTACTTAAAGAGCACTGAGCCGGGATGCGGAGCTCGTTCGCGGTGACGAAAGGAAGGAAAAACGTATCTATATGGAATGATAAGGAATGCATACTAGATGGAGCTGTGCGCATCAGCTGACGCCGTCTACCTGTGAGCGAGGGACGCCCGCGCGCCGAAGGCGCAGCGAGGCGTGACTAGCCAATTCGAACCGCCGGAGCGATTCGCGGGTCGGGAAGAGTGGTAGCGGAAGCCGACAGCGACATGCCTATCGGAAGGGATAGAGCGGTAGGACGAAGAATTGAGCGCGAGGGTGCGCGAGATGAATGTAGTCGGCCGCAAAGCTGGAATGGGGCATGGCGGCCGCGCGTGGCTCAATACGCTCGCTCAGGCGCCGGGCAGTGACACCCTGGCCCGGTATTAGTCGTGCTGCTACGCCAGCCCCGACACACGCCAGCTACGCAAAGGTTGCAGTAGCATCCAAATACCCAACGCATCGACATTAGTAGCAGTCTCGCTATTACGCACGTATTGACGGTACCAAAAGCGGCTTTTAGTAATTAGTATGGTGGTATTTTCTAGTCGGTCTTAATGGTAACGCAAATGTACTGCATACACATTCAGAATACAATATGATATGTGGTTATATGCTGCTCTGTATACCAAACATACGAAGCTTGATTCAGCAACAACTAAGACTTTGAGCTAATCGTTTGCAAAGCTATATAGCAAGTGGTAAAACGGGAACAAAATTGTGGAGTCAGTAGCCTACACTGTGTAGTCAACGAACTCGGCTCTCCTAGACCCCGTTAATGCGCAGAGCGCAGCGTCCATGGGAAACCAGAAAATGACGAATTGCCGTCCTGAAGGCTGTCGGCGCATTCGTCATGAGTTGCAGCAGCTGTATATGAGGAGACCGCGGACGGTGTGCGCGCCCATACTGCTCCGTTAAAATTGACGAGCTGTAGGTTGGGGCACGACCCATTTGGTTCCGTAAGGGCAGCCACGGTGGCACGGTGTGATATCCTCCCCTGAGGAAAGCTCACTGCATTGATTAGCTCGAGAGATTTGAGTTGGTTCAGAGGCGGCATTGCGTGGACGACTTGTTGTGGGTCCTGCTCTTGGTCAGTACCACGCAGATGAAATAAACGATAGAACGTACAAATTGGACATGCGAAGGGGATCCAGATAGAAATAGAACGCTGAGTTGATGTAAGCTGGGAGCGCACTCACCGATCGTCTCGAGCACCTTGCTGCCAGTCTCCTTTGTGAGCAGCCTGATGGTAATCCGTAGCTCTCGAAGTGGTTCTTTCGGCAAAGTAATATTGGTCAGTAGACCTTTTAGCCTGTCGTAATCCTGGCTCTTTTTGATGCGGAACGTAAAGCCGTAGCTCCGAATCGACCGACCAAGGCATAGTGTGGCGAACCGATGCAAGTTTCCAAAGGATAGACTTTGGAGTGCAGGAAGGAAGCTGGCGTTGTTTGACTGATCGATTAGAGCCTGGGCTATAGATTTGTCGGCACATCGCTGAATAGCTAGAGACGTAAGGCGTTCCAGAGAGGAAAGCGTTTGAATGAAGCCATTGATCCAACTCGAGACATTTGGGAGCCGTTTAGTTCGAGTAGGATCTGGTGTGAGGAAAAGTCGAAGAGAGGTAACACATAGCGTGTGTCTAAAACCAAAGCTAAAGTCGTAGACTTGGGGTAGGCCAATGACGCATAGGCTCCTGTATAGAATAGGGGCAACAACGTAGTGAAAAGCCTTGTTTACGAGAGATAGCGATTTGAGAACTTTGGTATGCGAGCTAGGATCAATCGATTGAATGATGGGGACAAGAACGTCGGTTGGAAGAGTCTGGACGGCCCGAGAGGTGCTCGATTGGGCAGCAGATTCCGAATCCACCGCTCGAAACTGAGGAGCTGGAGCGAGATTGGTCAAGCGAACCGGTTTTGAGCACTCGAAAGTAAAGGTTCCATCAACCATTGGTGCTTGTTGAGCCTCTTATTTTCAAGTGCAAGCGGATTAGTGTCTCATCTATGTACAGGAAAGCAACGTACTTGTTATGTTGGCGACGTTTGGCTTTGCGTTTGGTGGTATGCGGGAATCGGGTTTCGTGGCGTCGGATGAAATCGGGCGACGTTTGGCAGCCTGCGACGCACGTAGGTTTACTTTGGTTTTCTTGTTTTCAAGCTTATGGGCTCCTTCCAGGTTACTTGCTGCAGGTAACCCTATGGTGAAGTGAAAAAACATGTCGGTGATCAACCTCGAAGGCGTATCTCTCTGTGAGGTTGGAGTTGTGTTATTCGCAAGATCTGAGCCGTCCATTTTGTGGTTTCTTATCAGCTCTTCTCTGTTTTGAGTCGTTAAATACGAGTATTAGGGGGTCGACTAACAGTGGTAGGTGTGGTGGCTCAATGGTGGCTCGATAAGTGATCTCCAAAAGCAGCTTAGTCATATATAGGACCCAGAGGCTTAAGCGCCAACGGGCTTTATAGCCGTTAGTCACTCCCATCGCCTAGCTGTTGGCCTGGCAAGATGGCGAGTGGGGCAAAGCTCCCCACTCGCGTAAGTACCTAATATAGTGCACAGATAGATAATCTCGCAGTACCTTTGTAACTTTGCGTCTTGGGTAGGCCGAACTTGAAGCAATTCTCCCGCTTGAGAATATAATAAAGATTTAGAAGTAGTGAAGCACCTATTTCACTAGATCAAACTGTTCTCCTGAAATGCACGCGTCAAAGCTGCCATATAGTCCAACCTTCAGATCCCAGCGTGACACTCTAGTCCTAGCGGCCACGTTGAACTTGTTGCATATGTCTAGAATACAGCATACATGATATTTTCTACCCTTATATATGTTAATTAGCTTACTCAAAACATTCTTTCAGAGTCTTTCTGGTCTAAACTGCATAGAATTTCTGATTTATTGATGTCATATAGGGTAATCCTCTCATCTATTAAACTCCCTCAAGGATCGGCCAACCCGAAAGTGATGAAGAGCACACCACCCTAAAATATCTACAAATTCACAGCTTTTGGGACAACATTACGATTACAAAGAGAGCAAAGCAGAAGACCTCAAACCGTCTTGAAGAGAGTGGGAGAAAACATAAACACGAAAACGAAAGAGCGGATATAAAGTCATGGGAATCGCATAAAAAATTTGAATCGTCAAGCCCTTCTACTTGTCGCCAGCTTGGTCTCCCCGCGTTTCATTCAACATTTCCCAGTACGTATCAACCTCAGACTTCTTCTCCTTGTTCTGACGATCCTCCTTCTCCTTGGTGAGGAGTAAGACCTGTTCGTTGTAGGCCGCTAAACGAACTTCGGCCTCCTTGAGAGCGGTCGCCTGTTCGCGCATCTTGAGCTCATATGATTTTACGCTCTTCCGACTCTCGAAAAGAACACCTTCCAGAATCTTGTGTGCAGCGTCGTTGCCAAATTTGTCCGCCACCCGTCCAATGTTTGTGACTAGATCGTTCTGCTTTTGTAGGATCTCTAGCTGGGCCCGGTGTTCCTTTGCGGCAGCAAGGTTTGAGGCAATGGCGATACGATTGGTGTCGCCGTGAATAGCCATGTGGTTCTTGAAGACGTCTACCAAACCGTCAAGCGATTTTGAAGCCGGGACTGGAAACCATTAAAACCTTATTAGAGACTTAATACGAATGACATACTGCGGTCATCTTCATCAATATCATCCTCATCCTCATCCGGCTCATAGTCTGAATCTAACAGGATGTTCATTTGCGTTCAAGCATGCATGTATGCACGCACCTGCTGTTTTGGTGGAAGCACGCGTCCTGCGACCACCTAAGAGAGTATGAGAGATTAGATCATGTACGAGGGTCAAGACTACTAACCTTTCTTGACAGTCCCTTCGTTGCTTGTGTTTGCAGCTGAAAAAGAAGGTGAGTGTTTCGGAATTGTAGTGACTCGTTTAACTAACCCTTTGATCCCTTGGATGTACCTTTAGCTGGCGTGACTTTGGGAAGCACAACTTTAGGGGTTGGTTTGGGGAGTTGCGTCTTGGCGGGCTTGGGTTTTGAGGCAGGCGTGGCTAAGCGACAGTACGATGAGTATGCACAGGTAATAGCAACGAGTGAGCAGTACCTTTAGTTGTATCACTCTTGGAGTTCGAGGAGGATGCCGTTGCGTTGGTCTTCTTGGGCTTTGAACTTTCTGGACCGGCTGCCGTGTTCACGTCGGTTCTGGTGTCTATACCAAGTGGCAATGAGACGGTGAGATCAGAGAAGTACTGATACGTACTTATCACATCCACCAGCACAACGTCCGAGTCGCTCTGTGGATAGTTTTAGATCTGGCTCCAAATTACAACGGAAACTGACGTACTCCTTCGCCTGGTTTGTTTACTATGAGATGTAAAAATGATACCACCAATGTATGCGCCAAAAGTTACTCACCAGGTGCTTTATCTTTTCCGAGGCGTAGCGTCTGTGGCTTTGGAGCTGGTACTGAGCCGGTGGGAGACGAGTTTCGAGCCTGACCTCCGGCGGATGGGGTGGCGGACGACTTGGGAGGGACCTTTGCCAACGTAGGCCCAGGAGTCTCACCTACCGTAGAGGAGTGGGATACCTTGTCTAGGAGTTCCCAGTGGGTTAGCTGGTGATCATGCGAAAGAGCGAGCTAACATACCAGTTGTTTTTGCCTTCTTGG